AACTGGATTTGAATGAGGAGTTGCAGCAGACACAAGGAAAGTGCAGAGAGAGACAGAAGAGTAAGTTCCAGGAAATGTGGTCTATGTCCCTCTAACTACAGAGCCGATGTCCTGTTTCCTCTTCGCTTTATAATTCCAGTGATATCTTATCAATTGAAGACATGGCTGTGAAATAGGACACTTTTATTCCCAGAATATCAGGATTGCTGAAGGGTTAATCTATATATAATAAAATAGCTCTAAGCGGCCTGTGCCCAAATGGTCTATCTTTTTATCCCCGGGCCTTTCTCCAGATGAGAGACCCAAGAACATGAACAGACAGCTCTAGAAGGAGAAATTATCTCCCCCAGAAAGTTCCCCCAGTCTAGGAGCAGAGAGAGAGGTGCATTGAAGTCAGTGGGGTAAATACTTAACAATTACATTTGATTGGCATCCTCAGACATATCGTCATGTAATGTAAATACAGCCCTAATCCTCTGTTTCCCTGTAGTTCAGGTTCAGAGGCCAGGCCACCTCCTTCCCAGAGCAGCAGAGTCAACAGCTCCTGCAAATCCAGGATGGTCCTTGGCAGGTGCAGAGGAGCCCTTCTCATGCCCCACCTTCGTCCTGTCCACTCAGAATTCTGTGGAAGATGAAGTTTGGGACCTAACGGGTTGGCCAGCTGGTTACCGAGACCACTTTCAGTTCTTTGAAAGTAATTAGAGGATAGCAGATGAGAAAGAGTGAGCTGGGGGACAAAGAGCAGCCGGAAGGGTGAGTGGACACAAAGGTAGAAACATGCAAGTCCTACGAATCAGACAGGAGACTTTGAGGTCAAGAACTGCCAAGTTTGTTTTGTGTCAGACTAAACAGCCCTGAAAGTCTTGATGGTCTGGCACCATTATATAATGATGCATTAGAACTTGTGAGTGTGAAGTGGGGAGAGTGTCTACCTATTGTAGTGGGACATCTCATCCCAGTGACCCAGGACGGGTTGCCCTGGATTTCAGTCTACACATTAGGCTTGAGGTATATGGCATCTTGAGCGTCTTCTAGATGGGAGAAGAACTCGTGTGCATGTTGCAGTGAGTTATCACTTCCTCCCTCACTCACCCTCATTTCGTAGGTGAGTCTCAGTAGAAAACTTTAGGATTTGGGGTAACATGTTGAGTATCTGAGGTAATGAAGTAAAGGCACCTTGAAAAGAATGCCACTTGAGTAATGAGCTCATAATGACTATTAATACCCTGAATGCAAAAGATTTATTCTGGTGACCAGGAGCCCTACGTGGGTGCATTTTAAGTCCTTGTCAAGTTCTGCAGGTTCTGCACAAGCCACTGAATGATGCCTCCTGTACCAGCTGTTTACGTGGTACAGTTAGTGACAGTCATTGTGAACATTCTGGTTTTCAGCTGTTCGTTACCACAAACTTTGACTCTCCCATGTGCCAGGTGAAAGCGCAAGCAGTGACACAGCCATGGGCTACAACAACGAGGCAGAGCTCTCCATGAGCCCGTGGCACGCCTGTGAGGAAGACCCAGAGCTGAGCACGCCCACGGATGCTGTGGCTGACGCCGATGCCCGCCATTGGCTAC